ATTATACAAAGGCACAAATGGAAGCCAAGCACCTACCTACCTTTTGTGCCTGTGAAAATCTCTCTCATTATAACATATGTATAATGTACACATACACAGAGAGGCTGTGTCTACATTGGCATCCCTTTCCGGAAAAGGGATGCTAATGAGACACTTCGGAATTGCAAATCTGCGGGGGATTTAAATATCCCCCGCGGCATTTGCATTTACATGGCTGCCGCTTTTTTCCGGCTCGGGGTTTTTGCCGGAGAAAAGCGCCAGTGTAGACGCGATTCTCCGGAAAATAAGCCCTTTTCCGGAAGTTCCCTTATTCCTTGAAAGTAGGAATAAGGGATCTTCTGGAAAAGGGCTTATTTTCCAGAGAATCGCGTCTACACTGGCGCTTTTCTCCGGCAAAAACCCCGAGCCGGAAAAAAGCGGCAGCCATGTAAATGCAAATGCCGCGGGGGATATTTAAATCCCCCGCAGATTTGCAATTCCGAAGTGTCTCATTAGCATCCCTTTTCCGGAAAGGGATGCCAATGTAGACACAGCCAGAATGTTTTTCAAAAGATAAATTATTATTTCATCAAATAAAGCAACCCCCACAGTTGGTAGCTTCCTGAATTTATCTTATATGCACATCTTTTACTGGCACTACTGCATCTGAACAGTGCACTATACAGTACCATAAAACCCAGCTTTAGCGTATTGCTTAAAATAATCATCATCACACTGCTAACCCTGCCTTGCAAAATCTTGGCTGAAGCACTGCACAGAAACCTTCAGCTGTTAATGCCATTACAGCTCCTCCCAAACCAAAAGAAAGCAGCGACTCTGAGTCATCCTAACTGACGTCAAGCGAATGCTGTCACTGCTGGGAAACATTAACTCTGTGAGCAGCTTCACAGAGTCCACCATCATTCTTGTGCAAAGAATGTAAAAAGCAGCGTCTATTCTCCTCTCTGTGGCAGTTGGAAACGGAATACCCTGTACACTAAACTTCTGCAGACAAGGTGAATGATCCCTAAGTATTGATATTTAGAGGTTAATTCATTGCCTGTAGAGCACCCAGACACATTTTTTGTTCTGTAAAAAAGACTGTCTCTCAGTTGGGCAAATACACTCCTTTATGTATGCCTTTGGAGAGTACTTTCAAAATATATTTTTGGCCAAATTAGCACTCACAAAATGTTCTGTTTTTCTTGCAGCTCTCCCATAACGACCACCTAGTCAAACAGGCCACTCTGTCACTGCCTATTCCATAGGTTCCTGTACTGTGCTCTGCAAAGCACTGGCTGCAGAGAGCTGACTGTTACATTGTGCTGCTCTCCCGGTTTCCAGCTGTTAAAATGCATTAGAAAAAGTGAAAAAAAATTATGTCTTCCCATTGTCACTTTTCCATGAAAGCAATTGCTGTAGGGATTATGAATGAGAATGGTATTTGGGACCTGAAAAAAAATGGACCCTCCAACTACCAATGAAAGAGCAGGTGTGCAAATGACATTTCCCTTCTCGTTGTAATCTGCCCTGGAAAAAGTGTGGGAATCTATGGTCTTTTCTATTACATTACAGCAGTCTGTGGCTATTCAGTTATGGGAACTATGCAAATATAACTAGCAGTTGGTCCTTACTAAGAAGTCATTAACAGAATTTTTGACAGTCTCTTTTCAGAAGTGGCTCCAAACAGGAACAGTACAGTGGTAATGTTGGGACACGAAAGAGATGCATTGGCAGAGCACAAGCAGGGGGAATCTCTCAGGTGATAGGCACCAGAAAAAACAAACCAGATTTTCCCAAAACATAAATAAATGATGTGGGCAAACATAGCAGTAAAAAGTCTGAAGAAAGGAAAAATAGGTAAACACCACACATCAGCCATATTATTATAAGAATATAAGAACGGCGGTGCTGGGTCAGACCAAAGGTCCATCTAGCCCAGTATCCTGTCTGCCGACAGTGGCCAGCACCAGATGCCCCAGAGAGGGTGGACTGAAGACAATGATCAAGGGTTTGGTCCCCTGTCATCCCTCTCCAGCCTCTGACAAACAGAGGCCAGGGACACCATTTTATCCCCTGGCTAATAGCCTTTTATGGATCTAACCTCCATGAAATTATCTAGCTTCTCTTTAATCTGTTATAGTCCTAGCCTTCACAGCCTCCTCTGGCAAGGAGTTCCACAGGTTGACTACATGCTGCGTGAAGAAGAACTTTCTTTTATTAGTTTTAAACCTGCTACCCATTAATTTCATTTGGTGTCCTCTAGTTCTACTATTTAGGGAACTAATAAATAACTTTTCTTTATCCGCCCTCTTCACACCACTCGTGATTTTATATACTTCTATCATATCCCCCCTCAGTCTCCTCTTTTCTAAACTGAAAAGTCCCAGTCTCTTTAACCTCTCCTCATATGGGACCCGTTCCAAACCCCTAATCATGTTAGTTGCCCTTTTCTGAACCCTTTCCAAGGCCAAAATATCTTTTTTGAGGTGAGGAGACCACATCTGTACACAGTATTCAAGATGTTGGAGTACCACAGTTTTATACAGGGGCAGTAAGATAGTCTGGGTATTTTTTCTATCCCTTTCTTAATAATTCCTAGCATCCTATTTGCCTTTTTGACCGCCGCTGCACACTGCATGGAAGTTTTCAGAGAACTGTCCACGATAACTCTAAGATCTCTTTCCTGATTTGTCGTAGCCAAATTAGCCCCCATCATACTGTACGTATAGTTGGGGTTATTTTTCCCAATGTGCATTACTTTACACTTATCCACATTAAATTTCATTTGCCATTTTGTTGCCCAATCACTCAGTTTGGTGAGATCTTCTTGGAGTCCCTCACAGTCTGCTTCTCTCTTGACTATCCTAAAGTTTGGTATCATTATTATTATTAATGCAATGTTTAATATGACGGTTACGGGAACTTCATAGATTTCATAGAGTTCACAGATTTTTAAATCTGGAAGGGATCATTACATCATCTAGGCTGACATACACCTTCCTTGGGCCTAGAAATTTCAGACAAATAAGCTATTGTGTGGACAGGCAGAGAAGTGACTGATTTAATTACCCTCCGCAAAGAGGATACCAGCCGTAGCTGTGGTTTGAAGTGCTTGGATTTATTCACCACATCCCTTAACTATCACAACAGGTTTAGTTGAACTCCTCTGAGGAAACATAATTGTATGTGCCAAGAAAAATGGTACGTTCTCTCTTATTTTCAATTGCACAAACAAAAAGGACATCCAGTTTAATAGAATCGCTGAATTATCCTACAAGAAGCTGAACGAACCAAAAAGAAAAAAAAATCCCTGTCTTGTTTCAAGTAGTGAGATGGATCTGCAGATTTATACCTGGACATAGTCTTCACCTATAGATAACTGCTCCAAATCTATCCCAAATTATAGTAGATGGAAGTCATCACCATTTAACAGCTGTTCAGTGTCCTATATGAAATGAGTTAGGCTAGGTACACACAATACCACTGTAAGGTCTCCTCTGTAGCCACCCTATGCCAGTGGGAAAGAACTGACATGCTAGAATAGTGCTGTCCATACTAGGGATGCGAGTGGTTAACTGGCTAACAGGTGGAGGAGGGAGCAGCTTCCTACTGACCGCGAGCAGGAGGCTTCTCCATCTCTGTGAGGCCTGTTGTGGGCAGGGATTCTCCAGCCCAGCTGGAGTAGCCCCCGTCTGCGCCATAGGCAGGGCCCCCCAGCCGGTCAGAGCAGCCCCTGTCCATGGTGGGCCTGGTCCTGTGGGGCATGCACAGGCTGGGGCACTTCAGCTGGCTGGACCAGCCTCACCTGCTCACCCTTTAATCAGGTTAACCTGTTAACCAATTAAATGGGATTTTACATACTTAGTCCATACTAGTGTTTTTCAGTGAAAAGCTAGTCACAAGTTAGTCAGTGAAACCTCTGCTGGTCAGGGGTGTTTTTTTTAAACCAACAAAAGATTTGCTGACAAAAGCACTAGTCTAGACAAAACCTCAGTACATAATCTTATACTCGTTCCTAGAATACAATCATTCACCCCATATACCAGTTCATAAAAGAGGCCAAGACTCGTTCCTAGAATACAATCATTCACCCCATCACTATGTGTTATACCAGTTCGTAAAAGAGGCCAACGATTGTGACAATGTAGGATGCAAATGAAGTAGAGCCTCATGCCTAGAAGTCAAGGTTAAGGCTCTTTGCCAGCTCAGTATAGGGAAGTTTGTATAATTATTACCTGCATTAGAGATAGAGTATTTCAATCTCAGAAGCTGTAAATAAGGCACACTTTACAAGCACTAAAATTTTCTGTTTTGTTTTGTTTTAAACCATCTTAAGGATCAAACTGAAATGTATTTTTACTGGGCCCAATTCTGCAGGCTACCGAGAACTTTCAAAGCAGTGAGATAAGGCTCTATTCCTATAGCACACCAAAAATTCATTGTATGTCTGTGTAGGGTAGCAGCAGCTTCTTTACTGATTCAAGATTCTTGAAAGCATATCAAAGTTAACAGCAATACTGTTGCATTATGATATTCTGCAGCATTAGTTGAAGTTATGGGACTGATTCAGTCAACACCCATGCAGGCAAAAAGCCGCACGGAAGTCAATTTGGCTCTTCATGTGAGTAAAGTCATTCATGTACATGGGGGTTTGCACAACTGGGATCTTACCAATCATAAGAGCCATTATTGAAACTACCTCAATTCAAAATAAAAGGAGAGGAGGAAAAAAAATCATTATTTATAGTATACAAAAGTGGTAGGAAAAACAACAAGCTGCTAAGAGGGTCTTACAAAAACACTTAACCTAAAAACTGTTAAGATAATATTTGACAGTGTGCTTTTAATCAAATGCACAGCAAATAAAAACATAATTTTTCCAGCAATAAAACGGTTATATTTACCAAGAACCAAATGTCTTCCAAAACTTACAGAAATTAGGCAACCCTCCAGTCACTGGGATTAAACCATGTTTGTCTGGGCATCTAACAACCATCCTCATCCCTAAAGCTACTTACCACATTTTAGACGGAGTTCTCCCAAGCAGCCATAGGCATCCATGAGTTTTTCATATTGCCCTTTAATTGCCTCCTTTTCTTCAGGAGCTGTCAAAAGAAAAAGGCACTAAGCCTTAGTTTCTCAATTCAGGTTTCAGGCTGGTATAGCCTTTTACCAAACCCCTCCCAGAAGATCTCACTCAACAAACAAGACAATTAGATAACATGTGAATAAACATGTAGGTTTACAATGTTAACTAGGAATGGACCGTCCCCATAAAAGACTTTTAAAAATTGCAAACAAGTCTCTTCAAACACCACATAAAGGAAAAAGAGCCAATTGTAAATCCACAAACAGATCATTAATTAACTGTTGTATCCACTAACACATGATGTAGACATAAGCAGACACCCTATCGAGATCAGAAGACACACACACACCACTAACACATGATGTAGACATAAGCAGACACCCTATCCAGATCAGAAGACACACATAATTCATACAGCCCTAAGACCAGAGCTATTTAAAAAAAATACTGTTTGAATATCACCCACATATGCTAGGCAATTTTTATACATATGAGAAGGGATCATCCTTGCCCCACAAATCTCAGAGCAAAGACACACAGAAGACATAGAAGAAGAACACATTTAATATAGGCAACACGGCAAAAATGAGTTTTTGAAAGACAAAAATGTATTCTTGACAAAACTATTTGGCAAAAGAGCAAATCAGTGTAAATTTACATCAGAGTACACAAGAGAATGCATTCTGATCTCATTTACATCAGTAAAAATATGGAGTAAATAATCTCAGTACTTCTTCATAGATCAAAAAGAAACAAAAAAGGGGGGTAGAAAACCATTTTCCTCCTTTTCTGTGTCACTTTTACTAATGGCCGCCATAGCACACTTCATGACAGAAGCAAAATCCTTGCTCCAAACACTGCAACTTTCAGGACCCTTCTCTAAAAGAAAAGATTACAGAAATAGTTTAAGAGATCAAGATAACAGACTGATGGGGGTGGAGAAAAGATTGACAAGCTAGCAGGCTAAACTCAAGAAAGACTGGAAAAGGCATCAGGGAAAATAGAGATTTCTTCAAAAAACAGGGACTGGAACGTGGGTCATCAACAAAATGTAATATGGCACAGTCTAAACTAAAGACTGAAGTGTACAATATGTATACCGTCTGGAGATTAAGCAATTCAAAAATGTGACACCACGTGCAGCTCATGACAAGCAGCAGCTGATGTTGTTAAGTGCAAAAAAGCCACAGAAGCTGGCAAGGCAAGACACTGCACACACATTAGAAGAGCTTGGATCAAAGATGGAAGTTTCAGTGAGCATCAAATGTTAAGCCTGGGCTAGCTTGGCTTTGCACATGGTGTTGTAGACATATCCAGTCCCGCCGACAAGGAGCAGCAAAGGGGGCAGTTGCTCCAGGGTCGGACACCCTAGAAGTGTGCAGGGATCAGTAATAAGCCTTCAGGATCTGGTGGAGAATCCACCTGGTGGAGGTACAGCATAGGGGTTCCAGAAATGGCTCTAAGCTACTCCCTTCACAAGAGCTGGCAAAGGGAGTGTGCCTGGGCACAGGAAATGGCACTCTCAGGATTCTAGACTGTGCTGCATCCAACAGGAAGCCCAGGGTGAGGTGGCATAAATTATATCAGCGGGGGGGGGGGGGGGACAGGAGGAGGGGAGCTGCTTTAATTTTCGCTGGGCACTATTTTGTCCCCTGGGGTGGCATAAATTATATCAGCGGGGGGGCAGGAGGAGAGGAGCTGCTTTAATTTTCGCTGGGCACCATTTTGTCCCCTGTAGGAATTCTTAATTCAAAGAGCACAAGCGTAGCATTAAGCCACAACCTCCATTCCAATGCTGCATCTTCAGTACTGCAACCCTTGAAGATGCAGCACAGAATTGCACATTTACAGTAGCCTCTGAACACAGCAACGACCAACATGTCAAGCCTAGCTGTAGCTGGTGACATGGGGGCTATGCAAATCTGGAGAGTGGGGAAGTTCAGAGATCTCTACAGATCAGGTCTTTGTGCCAATTTACTATAGGTATTGTGTGATAGAGTCCAGAGGCCCCCTCCCCATGGTGCTGAGCATTGTACAAGACACTTGATAAAGTGGCAGCCCCTATCCTAAAGACATTACAGTTGAAGGCTTGGTCTATATCCACTGTACAACTTATGTAGTTGTACGGACATCACTGAGAGGTGCGGATTTTCCACAACCCTGAGCAATGTAGCTATACTCACCTAAACACTGGTGTAGATTACATTATATCAATGCAAGGGGTTCTCCCATTCACATAGGTACTGCCTCTTGGGGAGGTGGAGTACGTAAGCCAATGGGAGAAGCTCTCCAGTCAGAATAAGTAGCATCTTCACTAAGTACTGCAGCAATACAACTACACCAATTCAGCTGCAGTGCTGTAACTGTAGACAAACCCTGAGTAACTGTATGGTATAGAACCAAAACAGTATTTGGCTTGCTATTTTTTGAGTGGAGAAAGGAGTTTAATTTAAAGAACTTTAGACAGAATGTGAAGTGAGCCATATGATATCAATGTGCACAACAAATTAGTCACCAGGCCTAATTCATGGGCATTAAAGGTGCGAAAGGAGACTTGTGGCAGAGAGTCTCAGAGAATGGTTCAATAGAGTTGGGCTTGCAACCTATGTGTGTGATAATATAACAGTGAAGATGTTCTGGCTCCTACTAGTGCCCAGGCTCTGAGACGGACAGGCAGACACAACCCTGGCTCAAGCCCAAGCATCTATATTGCTACTTTTAGACCCCTAGTGCAATCCCTACAAGCTTAAGTCAGCTGTCCCAGGTCTAAGATGCACATCCCTACAAGCTTAAGTCAGCTGTCCCAGCTCTAAGATGCCATGGGGAGAGAGAGGTAGTGGTAGTGTACACATACCCAGACATATACAGGCGAGAGGTAGTGGTAGTGTACACATACCCAAACATATACAGGCTCTGCTTTGTTGTTTTCAACAGAACTGTTCCCATTTACACTAGCAATGCATTTCCATCAGTGGGTTCAACAAGTGCTACTCCAAAATGGGATTCTGTCACTGGCCCAAATGTGATGGGTCTGTATGCAGTGCAGGGGTAGGGCACTAGGAAACCTTCCCTTCTGCATGGTATAAAGGCCAGTCCCAGTTGCAACCCGTGAACTGTTCAGTCAGTGTGTTCCCTTTGCCCACTTTAAGACAGCCTGCAGAGCAAGACCAGCATGCAAGAGGACGCATGCAGCACTCCTGAAGGGACACAGTACTGGATGCGCTCCCTCTGTGCAATGGGAAGGCCTAGAAATAATTCTGTCTGAGCTGAATGTTGACATGTTTGTGTTACTGAAGCTCCTGGGGAGCCCCATCAATGGAAGTCAGCAACAACCAGACAGCCAAGCTGCACAGATAATGGTGTGTCAAATGGGACACGACCAGGTATTCAAGGCTCAACGTAAAGGTTTTATTATTTTAGAAAAGGCATTTATAAAACATATATTAATGGGAACATGCTAAAGAAATGTAAAATAAATGTAAGCAAAGCCAGGAATTTTTGTTTGAACTACTTCAAACACCACATAAAGGAAAAAGAGAGAAAACATTCCTCTACTGTGTTTGCAACTCATGCTAGGGCTTGAGAATTAGAATGTGAATGTCTAAAAACAAGTGAGACTAATGTGTTTATAGTGATAGAAATAGCCGTGTTAGTCTGGTGTAGCTGAAACAAAAAACAGGACTATGTAGCACTTTAAAGACTAACAAGATGGTTTATTAGGTGATGAGCTTTCATGGGCCAGACCCACTTTGATTTGTCCTTTTCATATTTGTTCATTTTTTTAAATTGTATCCTTTGGTATATATGGTTGTGACTATTTTCTTCCACTATTTGATCTGAGGAAGTGGGTCTGGCCCACGAAAGCTCATCACCTAATAAACCATCTTGTTAGTCTTTAAAGTGCTACATAGTCCTGTAATGTGTTTAAGATTGCACAAGCTGGGATGAAGCACAGAGTTAATGGTCCAAGTAGTGGAAAGGAAACTACTGGAGAACTTTACATGTTTTTTAACTGTAAAACCGTGAAGGTATTATTTAGAGATGTGAACATTTAACTGCGTAAATAGTCATCCAATAAGCCTGGGCTTATTGGTTAACCTTCACAATTACATGCAGGCTCCCTCTCCACTCCTAGGGAGCCAGCTGCCATCCCGTGCTGCTGGCTTTGTATCAGAGGCAGCAGCACAGGGGCGGCAGCCAGCTCCACAGGAGTGGGGCTACAAGCAGAAGCCAGTGTGCATTGGCTCTCAGGGAGCTGGCTGCCACCTGGCACTGCTACCGCTAATACAAAAGCAGCAGCAGATTTTTCAGGGAGCCAATGCGATACCGGGCACACTGCTCCCTGAGAGCTGGCAGCTGCCCCACGCAGCAGATGTGTGTTACCATGAAACCGCTGAGTTTTCCACCCATTACACATTTACCCAATTACTTGCTTTTTAACATCCCTAGTATTGTTGAACAATTCAGGGAAAAGATGCTTCTCCTTTACATGTGATATATTCAGCCTCAAAGTAACCTTTCAAGCACATGTTTTTCCTTTCGCTAAATCACATAATGCCCTAAACATTCTAGCTTCAATCCCTTCCTTTAGTAAGAGCGTGTAAGAAGTATCAATGCATAAGATGGCACTCCCAGTTCTGATTATAATATAAAGTTTTGTTTAAACCAAACCCTTTTTGAAACCTCAAGCCATAACTTAAAGGAATAACACAGAAATGTATTTAAATTATAAAATCATTAGTCAACTGTTTACTTTATTATCTGCTTAAAAGTAACTTTCCACTAGGCCTCCAACAGCAGCAAAAATATATTAGTGGAATCCAGCAGTTTTCAAGCTTCATTGCATCCCAACCCCCTTCTGACAACAAATATTACTACACAACTGCAGGAGAGGGGACTGAAGCCAGAGCTCTCCTGAGCCTCACTGTCCCAGGTAGGGGGGCCAAAGCTGGAGCTCCAGGCAGGGGGCCTGTAACTCAAGCTTTGCTGCCCAGGGCTGAAGCCCTTAGACTCTAG